GGGGGGGGGGGGGGGGGGGGGCAACATACCTTCCCCGTTAGACTCCATTCTTGAGGCCGTGTTGACTGTGTCCCCAAAGAGACAGTAACGGGGCATCTTCAACCCTACCACACCAGCACACACGGGTCCTGGAGGGAGGAAGCCCGTCAGTGAGGGGGCTGGAGGGTGTTTGGGGAGGGAGGGGAGGAGGGAGGGAGGAGGAGGGAGGGCGGCCACAGGGCGGAGCTAGGGCGCTCGGGGAGAGGCAGGAGGCGCATCTGAGACCAGAGGAACGAGCCTCATTCCCGCAGCTCAGCCTTCGGAAGCCCCCTCCCCGCGCCTTGGTGGCCTCACCTGTGTGGATGCCGATGCGCAAGCGCAGCTGCTCCTGGGGCCGGTGGCGGATGTGGAAGGAGCGCACGGCGTCCAGCAGCGCTAGGGCCATGCGGGCCACCTCGCAGGCGTGCAGCCGCCCATTCCGCACCGGGAGCCCCGACACCACCATGTAGGCGTCGCCGATCGTCTCCACCTGCGAGGGCGGGAGAGGGAGCAGGACCTGAAGGCTGGAACGTTCCCTTCCCTGGGCCGACCCCAACCCCTCGTGTACCATCATTCTGAACTCCCACCTGCCGGGCCAGGCGTCGTCGCCGATCGTCTCCACCTGCGAGGGCGGGAGAGGGTGCAGCACCTGAAGGCTGGAACGTTCCCTTCCCTGGGCCGCCCCCAACCCCTCGTGTACCATCATTCTGAGCTCCCACCTGGCTTTCCTCATCCCCCATCCCTCCATCCCCCTCCCCGCCCGGTTTCTCTGCCTGCCCCTGGGTCTCCTTGTGATAGATACTCTCTCTCCCCATGTACCTTGGTCTCCTCTCAAAGATTCTATTTCCTCCTTCCCGTCACCTCTGTCTGACTCTGCCCCGGGGTCTGTCTGTCCCTCTCCATCCACACTCACACTCTCACCTTGTACACATCGAAGTTGTCTATGACGGCATCGAAGCAAGTGTACAGGTCATTGAGCAGGGTCACCACCTGGAAGGGAAGAGTAGGGGCTCCACCTGGGCTTGGGTGGGAAAGGCGGAACCCGCAGGCAGGCCTACGGGATGGCGATGGTGGACCAAGCACACCTGCCTGGTCTTCACTCGTGGCCGCTCCCTGACTCACCTGCATGGGTGTGCTCTCGGCGGACAGGGCTGTGAAACCCACAATGTCACTGAAGTAGATAGTCACGCTGTCAAAGGCTTCGGCCTCGACGGTCTCGCCGCGCTTCAGCTGCTCAGCCACTGAGCTGAGGGGTCAGGGATCAGAGGGTGAGGTGGGGCTGGCACGGGGAAGGCAGGGCACGTCGCCGGACACGGGCACTCACTGAGGCAGGATCTGGTAGAGCAGGGCCTCGGCCTTCCGCTTCTCCTCCAGGTAGGCCTGGGTCCGCTCCTCCACCAGCTCCTCCAGGTTGTTGGCGTACTGCTCCATGCGGGACAGCAGGTTGTCCAGGATGTTGCTGCTGTTCTCTCTGAGGGCGGGGAGCAGCAGGCAGGGGTGAGAGAGTGCCCACCCCAGGCCTCCACCGGACCCAGGCTCCCAACCCACCTCCCAAGGGCAGTGGGGACAGTGGGGGCCCTGGAGAAGGCTGGGGGTGAGGGGCACCACAGGATGGGATGGCAGGGGAAAGGGTAGGAGGAACGTTCGGGTCATCTTTGAGATGCCAGGGTCAAGTATGAAGCTCCAGGCACAGATATTTTGTTGGAACAGTGAGTTAGAAGGCGGCAGAGGAGGTGGGAAGGGACTCGGATTGACTGAGAACGCAGCAGGAGGGCACACAGGCTCCGAGGTGCATCTGGAGGCACTGGGCCCCAGGGTGGCGCCCTGGGCAAAGGAGTTCACAGGGTGGGGCGGGAGCTCCCGCGGAGGGGAGGGGCCCCGTGTACTCTGCACACCAGGGAAGACTAGGGGCCCTGGGGGCTGAGCAGGAGGGGTGCGGGTGGCTGTGTTGTGGGAGGAGAGGGGATGAGAGGTGGGGATCTGTGGGGACATCTGGGTCATTCAGTATTCACATGGGGGGCTGTGAGGCTGTGGTGCTGCAGTAGCTACTGCAGGGATGAGACTTTGTTATTTTAAAGAGAGAGAGGAATGCGGGGGGAGAGAGAATTTGTTGTTACACTTATTTATATGTTCATTGGTCGATTCTTGTATGTGCCCTGACTGGGGATCGAACCCACAACCTTGGGACGATGCTCTAACTGAGCCAGGCAGGGATGAGACTTAAGTGGGGGGTATATCGTGGGGGGGGGGGCAGACAGGGGAGGCTAGGGGTGCTCCATGCCTAAGGCCAGCGACCTGTTAAACTTTCTCAGCATCGTGCGGATCTGCTGGAAGGGCGGCCGCTCCTGCGGGTCTTCAGCCCAGCACCTCTGCATCAGGTGCCCCAGTTCCTCCAGGTGACTCTGCAGGTCCAGGGAGGGCCGGAACGGGGGCTGCTCACCCCGAGTCACCCGCTCGATGATCTCTGTGTGGTGGGAGGAAGGGGCTCAGTGGCGGGGCCAGCCAAGGGCCTGTCGAGAGATGGGCTGGGGAAGGCCAGGACCCGGGCTTGGGGCAGGAGAGCCCTGCAGGGAACCGACTCAGTCATGCCTCAGGGTGACTGGCAATGGAGCAACGGGTGGTGGCTGGGCTTTGCAGGAGGAAGATGTGGTGGCATTTCCAGGCGTCTCTCTCTGGGGCTGAGGTAAGTTGAGACTGAGGCAGGGCTAGGGGACAGCATGTCCTCTTACCTTTGGGGCTGAGGTCCAAACCTTCCACGTGGAATACGCCACTTCTCAGGGCAATCTCCTGAAGGATGATCCCAAAGCTGTAGATGTCACCGGCTTGGGAGCCCCGGACGGGGGGTGAGGCCATTCGCAGGAGCTCGGGGGCTGTCCACAGCTTTTCTGCGGGTCAGAGGTCAGGGGTCACAGGGTGAAGGGCCCAAAGCTAAAGGGAAACAAGGCTAGAGCCAGAAGGTTGGTCTGGGACTGATCTGGAGACACCAAACGAGTGCTCGAGCTAGACGAGGCCTGGAGACCACTTCGTTGGACTCCTCGTTCTACTGGTGAGTGAGCTGAGCAAGCGTCAGGAGAGGCGTGCGTGCTCAGGCCCATCAGAGACCAGGCACGGCCTCCCTGCTGGGCTGGCCTTCAGTCAGGATTGGGGACAGCGGGGGTCTGAGCTCACTGGCGTAGAGGGTGTGTCCTTGGTCAGGCTCTGGGTCCCTGAAGCTCTCGAGCCCATAGTCAGTGATCTTGAGCACAAATCGACCGTCTACCACACAGTTGGAGGACTTGAGGTTCCCGTGGGAGCAAATGGCCCCACTGTGCAGGAACTGCATGCCCTGGAGAACGTGGAGGCAGGGTTCTGGGGTAGGAGTGGGACTTACAACCACGGCCAGAGAAGCACGCCTCCCCCACGTCCAATGGGCTCTCCTGGACCTACCTTGACGATGTCATTGGTGAGCGAGTACCGGAACATCCAGTCCAGGGTGATGCTCTCGTTTTCCAGAATGTCCTATGGGCAGCGAGAGTCAGCCCTGTGCCCTGCAGACTCCCCCTAAGAGGAGTGCAGGGGCCCTACTGCCGTCAAGTGGCAGAACAGGACAAAACTTTGTATTTACTTTAGTGCCACTGCCCCCCCCCACCCCCGCTCCCATTTTACAGATGGGGCAAATAAAGGTCAGAAAGAGAGAGGGGCCTGCCTGGGGCTAGAGCCAGGGCTAGACCCAGGTTTCCTGACTCCCCTGGATCCCCTCACCTGCAAGCTTCCACGGGGGCAGTACTCAGTGAGGATACAGATGTTGGGGGGATCGGTGCAGGCACCCACAAACCTGGTCAGGTGGTCATTCTGTATATCCCGCATCTGCAGGTGGGAGCCAGCATCAGGAGCCTGACAGAGACCTCACTCCTCAAGTTGTCCCCCACCCTCAAGGACCACTCACTCTTCTTAACTCTGTATTCATTCTCCAGACATTCTAGGACCTTCCCTGGTGATTCCCACCCATGTTCTGTGGCCCACCATCCCTCCAAATCTGCTCCCTACTCCCTCTGCCTCCCAAGCCCTCCACCCGCCCAGGGCATCAAGTATGGCCCCTCGAGGACCTTCCTCCAGGACATGTCCAGGTGTCCTTTCCCCATCCATGACGCCCTCCTCCCAGGCCAACATGCAAGGGCCCGTCCCAGGGCTACAGACAACCCTGAGGTCCCTCCATAAGCAGTGCTGTTGGCCAACCTCCCCTGTCCCCCTGGGATGCTCCCCCAGCCACTGCCTCACTCCCCTACATTACATGCTTCAGCTCAAACAGGACTTTTCTTGTCAGCTCAATGCGTTTACGGTTCACACTTTTCACAGCCACGAGGTTGCCCTGGGCAAGGAATGGAGACAGTCACTGTGAGGAGATGGGAGTTCCCAAATGCCCTGGCACCTGCAGCTGCTCCTCACAGCCCACCATGCCTCCCGGCCCTCCCTGTCCTGGCAGAACAGCCTGCCCCAGGCCCCAGGCCCCGGGCCCACCTTATAATACGCCGTCTTGGCAAAGACCTGGAACTGGCCCTCTGTGGTGAGGAGGGAGCCGTAATTGGAGCCTCTCTGAAGGGAGGGAGAGCAGGAGGGACGGTCAGCCCATGGGCCCCACCATGGGCCCCGCTCTCCCTACTAATGGCTTGAGCTTGGTCTTCACTGCCTCCTTCCACATCATGACACCCTCCCCTCACTTGCTTTTTCCCTTTAATGTATTGTCACATATACGATCTCCAACCTTTGAAGGAGTCTCTACAGGAGGCTCTTAGATGTAACCATTATCTGAGTCTCAGAGAGGGGCCGTGACCTGCCCAAGGTCACACAGTGAAGACAGCTGGGGTTAGAACCCTGCTCTCTCCCTGACCCATCAGGCACTGCCCTCCCCCCACCCCATCCCCAGCTGTCCCTCAAGTCCCCCCCAACACCAGCGTTCTCACCCCACTCAAGGTCAGCCGGCTGCCCGCACTCCGGAGGTGCCTCTCCAGGCTGCTGGGCTGCAAGTCCTCCCAACGCACCCGCCACAGCTCTGAGGCCAGTTCCTTCTCCAGCTGCATCTTCCTGAGGCATGAAACTGGCCTCTGAGCCCCTGACCCGCGTGGGGAGCTCTGACCCACAGCCCCTTCCCAGAGCCCTGGCACCACTGCCTGAGCCGAGCGGAGAGCAGCCCCACTGCTCTGGGGGGCAGGTCTCAGGACGGCCCCTGGGCTGAAAGCCGGGAGGCGTGGGTGAAATTCTGCCTCACCCGGACCTTGGGGCAGTCACTTTATTTCTTTGAGTCTCACATCTTCTTGTCCAAATGTCCTCATTTGGAAACGGGGAACCTCGATATTTGTTTCAAAAACATTGTGATAAGAATGAAAAGCGATGTTGTGTGGGAGGGTCTCTACATAGCACGTGATCAGCCAGCACCGATTTTCTCCCCTCCCTCTATCCTTCACTTCTCCCCAACTTCCGTTTCTGCTCCACTGGAAGGCAGGCACAGGGCTCCTTCACCTCTCTGGATGCACAGGGCTCATCAGCCCTGCCCTGCTAACAGGGGCCCGATCCCAAAGGGTCCGAACCACAGCTTCTCATCTCGTCAGCAAGAGCAGGGGGGACAAACCGGCCCCTGGGCCAAGATCCAGGCCTTTATGATGCCATGCCCCCCACCCCCCCTGCTGTCTGGGATCACCTCCCTCTCCCTGGGCACTCCTACCCGTTTCCTCCTTTCTTCCTTGTGTCCTAAAGCTTTTTAGTCTCTTTTCTCCTCCATCTCCAGCGGCCTCCCCTTCTGTGCCCGCACCCTTCCTCCCTTCCCTCTGCATCCTTGCTGCCTCCCCCGAGTCTGGTTGGTTCTCCAGGTCTCCCAGCCTCACCCACCACCCTCACCCCAAGGCTCACCTGTATATGAAGATGGAGACGATCAGGATGCTGAGCAGAGAGAGGCTGCCTACCAGCGCCAGCACCTCCAGGGTGGAAAAGTGGGCTGTGGGAGAGTCCGAGTTGCAGCAAGAAAGAGTTCGGTTAGACAGCAGGAGGAGTGCCTTCTAACGGTCAACCCGTGCACTCGGATGATGGATGAAGGGAAGGAAAAGGCAGGAGTCTTTCCAGAAAACTCTCAGTGTGGGGGGAGGGGAGCAGTGTCTCAGCATGGAGGCCTGGATGGCAAGGGGCAGGCACCTTGGTTACAGGCAGGGTCCTCGTTGTCAAAGCCGCACTTGGGGATGTCAGGAGGCGGGTATCCCAGGGGCCAGTGCAGTGTGCGCCCTGCCACCGCCACCAGCTCCTGGGAAGTCCCGTTGTAGTTCAGGACGACCTATGGGGGGGGGGGCAGGCACGGTGAGCGGGCAAGACCTCCTGTCCTGTCAGGTAGTCCTGCCTCCCACCTACCCCATCTCTGCTTCCAGGCCCTTTAACTGGGATGTCAACCCTGTATCAAACCCCTACTGTGAGTGACACAGAGACCCCATACCCGTGCCCCATGTCATTAGAGTGGAATAACGAACACAGTGTGTGTTCACCTTGGCTCTGAGCTGCCCGTCTCTGTGGGAGGGGTTCTGTGACCTTAGGAGACACTGGACTTCCTGAGGGCAGGGCTGTGCTCCCTCCTCAGACATGGGGTTCCCCAAGGGTAATGCCTGTGAGTCCCTATCGTTCTGGTTGATCCCCCCACTAGAGCTTTAATCCAGCATAGTAGGTAACTTCAGAGTAGACAGATGCCCTGCCAGGGCTGGGGTGCGGGGGGCGGGGGAGGCCGGGAGAAGAGGGGTGAGGTGTCTTTCTCAGTTGGCATTGTCTTCTCCGGGCACAGCCTTACCCGAAAGTCACTAGTCTCAGGATCCATATCCCAGAGGGAGAAGTCAGTCTCTCGGTCTCCATTGCTGTCGATTTTCAGGTGCCCTGTCACACCTGGGGCGTGGGGGAAGATGGCTGTGTTTTGAGGGAGTGGAAGAAAGTTCAGGGACCCCCCACACACGCGCACACACCTCATCTGATCCCTTGATTGTCTCTGCCTTGCCCTCCAAACACACACACACACACATATATGGAATGATAATAAAAGGGACAGACGCTTTAGCCACAGGACTGATTGGCGCTGGATACTTAGAAGGACTTCTTGATGGAGCTCAGAGAGAGGGCAGGAGGGCCTACAGGAAGCTGCGGGAGACTGGCGGGGGCGAGGGACTGCCCGTGCCGCTGGACTAGAGGCTCCCCACGGCCTCCCGCCCGGTGCAGTCCCAGGCAGGCCGTTCTCGCCACCTCCAGGCCCTGACCTTGGAAGCTCCGGTTCCACATCCGCTGAGTGATGCCCTCCCCGTCGGTGACGGCTCCCCCATGGGCCAGGGTCTCTGTCACCGCCTGGACGAAGAGCAGGAGCCCGTCGTGGAAGGACGCCGGGATGGTGTTCACCTGCGGGGACAGCAGAGCCTCACTGGGGTGGGACATGTGGAGGGCACACAGTGGGGTGCTGGGGGGAGGCACTGGGAGGTGCTGGGAGCTGGGAAGGGGATGGGAGAAAACGTCCCCACAGGACAGCAAGGTTTTGCTATCGATAAGATGCCTCTGCATAGACCACCGCTTCGCATCCCGCTGAGCAGGTGGGGCAGGACAGATCACTTCCCTTTGTGAGGACCTGAGATTCGGAGGTTGAACTGGTCAGCGCCACCTCCCAACCCCCAGAGATACAGAAACAAGGGGCAGGGAAAGAAGGGGAGGCCTGGGGATCCGGGGATGGCTGAGAGGACAGGGTGGAGACTGGCAGAGGGCCATGGAGTGGGGGCTGGAGGTCCACAGTGGAGGGTCCCAGGGCCCCGTCCTACCAGGCCGTCCTCCAGGGTGAAGTTGAACTGCTCATGAGCCAAGTGCTTCAGCTGCTGCAGGAATTCCACATACTCAGGGTTATCTGGCTCTTTGTATGTAATGATTTTGGCAGCCTGAGGAAGGGGTCAGTGGAGAGGGGTGAGCTGGGCGCTGACCCACCTTCCCAGTAGCCTGGGCCCCACCTCCCAGAGCTGCATCTCTGCTCAGCTTAACATCAAACTGGACCCCATATCCTGGGTGAGGTGCTGACTGCTCCAAAGCAGGGGACCCAAAGGGATGGCTTCTCCCAGTCCAGTGAGTCTGCAGGACTTGAACATCCTTCCACCTCAAGCCTACGCGCACATCCTCTTACCCTCCTGGCTCTGAGCCCCCTGTCCCTCCACACACCTCTGGGCCCAGGCCCTCGCCCTTCGTCACCTAATTCCCTATGAGCATCAAGAATTTCTTTTCTGCCCTGGCCGGTTTGGCTCAGTGGATAGAGCAGTGGTTCTCAACCTTCTGGCCCTTTAAATACAGTTCCTCATGTTGTGACCCAACCATAAAATTATTTTCGTTGCTACTTCATAACTGTAATGTTGCTGCTGTTATAAATCGTAATGTAAATATCTGATATGCAGGATGGTCTTAGGCGACCCCTGTGAAAGGGTCGTTCAACCGCCAAAGGGGTCGCGACCCACAGGTTGAGAACCGCTGGGATAGAGCGTGGGCCTGCCCACTGAAGTCTCCCAGGTTTGATTCCGGTCAAGGGCACATGCTCAGGTTGTGGGCTCAATCCCCAGGAGGGGGCGTGCAGGAGGCAGCTGGTCAATGATTCTCTCTCATCATTGATGTTTCTATCTCTCTCCCCCTTTCTCTCTGAAATCAATAAAATATATTTTAAAAAAAAGAAAGAACTTCTTTTCTAGAATCATTTCAGATAATGCAGGACCCAGTGCCCAGAAACTACGTGTCACCAGTTGAGAGTCGCACCCCCTGGCACTCACCTGAAAGGCCCGGTGGGCACTGACATCCTGCCCATCCCCCCGCTCCCAGGGCCTGCGGGAGCCAAGGCCCTGTGCACCTTGCAGGCTTTGCCCGAAGAGATCCAGGTGGAAGAAAGCATAGTCCTCCCCGCTGAGACCAGCTTCCAGGGCCAGAAGCATCAGGGCTCTGAAGGTGTCCGGGGAGCTGCAGATGTAGATGACTGGGGAGGAGGGGGCGGGTCAGAGAGAAGCCCAGGTGTTGGGGAGGGGGAGACTCTCCAGGTAGGGAAGCTGGGGCACCAGGGGGTCGTTCAGAGACCTTGTGGTCGTTGGGTGGACCTCCGGCCTCGGTACAGGCTGTGGCAGGAGGAAGATGGAGAAGGGAGGAGGTGGAGGTGGGAGGGAGAAAGGAGCAGAGGTGGGGGGAGGTCGGGTCAGGAGGGGAGGCGGGAAGGAGGGGAAGGCCAGCTGGAGAGGGGACTGGAGAGGAGCTGGCGTGTGGGAGCAATGGGAGGAGAAGATGGAGGAAGGAACGAGGCTGTTGGGAAGAGAAAATGGGCGAGAAAAAAGGGATGGGAACTAAGCCAGGAACCTACTACGTGTCAGGGTGGCAGCAGGCACCCCTTCCCGCCGTGAACTCGCTAGGAGCTGGAGGGCGGGAAGGAGGTGGGGGAGTGGGGTAGGTGGGAAGGGAGAGGGCCACGGAACCGGGAAGAGAAGGGGGTGGAAAAGGAGAAGGAAATGGGAACTCAGAGCTGGAAAAGGCCGGAGAGGCCGAGACAGGAACGAGGAACGTGAGGAGGAGGAGGAGGAGGAGGAGATAGACCGGCCGGAGGAAACAGAGGACGTCCAGGAACCTCCCAGGGTCCGAGGGGCTCTGGGCCCCGTGCGCCTCTCACCTCGGCCCTTGCGCTGCACGGTCCGCAGCAGCTTGGCGTAGTGGTCGCGGTCGCCCTCGGCGAACTCCAGGTGGTCCACCGTGATGTTGAGACGGTCGCGGACCCGCAGGTACAGCCCCTCCACGACGAAGAAGCAGGGCTGGTCGTCGCCCGGCCGGTAGGCGTAGAGCACGAGCGCCCGGCGC